CAACAAAACCAGTTGAGACAGATGAAGGTAAATAACCATTCATTTCTATAGACTGTGATATGTTGCTTCATCCTGGCTTGCAAATAGATAGTGCATGTACTGCCTTCAGTGAGGCTAGCTTTAGACTGGCAGATATCTCACTGGGAACTGGTAATGATACATATTCCCATCCTTGGTTGCTGTTCTGCTGAGCCTTGTGTCAGCTTTTTTGTCTGACTCGGAGTACGTGGAATAAAGCATGTGTGCAGTGAAATACTTATTCCATTTTATTCTTAGGAATGGGAACAATCAGCACCAGCTCAGATTTTTCCTATAACAAATGTTCCTCTTTTGGAACTCCTACATAGCTTGATTCCTGCCTGATCATTGTGAGTATTGCTTGAAAAACACACTGCTTGCAGAGATCTGGCTATGTACAGTTGCAAGAAAAAGTATGTGAACCCCTTGGGATTACGTGGAGTTTTGCATGAATTGGGCATAAAATGTGCTCTGAACGTCATCTAAGTCACAACAATAGAAGAACACAGTCTGCTGAACATAATACTACACAAACATTAGATGTTGCCATGGTTTAATTGCACATAACATGTAAACATTCACAGTGCAGGGAGGAAAAGGTATGTGAACCTTTGGACTTAATAACTGGTTGACCTTCCTTTGGCAGCAATAACCTCAACCAAACGTTTCCTGTAGTTGCAGATCAGACCTGCACAACGATCTGGAGTAATTTTGGACCACTCTTCACAAAACTGTTTCAGTGTAGCAATATTCTTGGGATGTCTGGTGTGAATCGCTCTCTTAAGGTCATGCCACAGCATTTCAATCGGGTTGAGGTCAGGACTCTGACTGGGCCACTCCAGAAGGTGTATTCTGTGCTGTTGCAGCCATTGTTTTGTTGAATTACTTGTATGCTCTGGGTCATTGTCCTGTTGCATCACCCATCCTCTGCGGAGCTTCATTTGACGGACAGATGGTCGTACGTTTTCCTGCAAAATGTCTTGATAAACTCTGGAATTCATTTTCCCATCAATGACAACAATCCGTCCAGGCCCTGAGGCAGCAAAGCAGCCCCAAACCATGATGCTCCCTCCGCCATGTTTTACAGTGGGGATGAGGTTTTGATGTTGGTGTGCTGTGCCTTTTTTTTCTCCACACATAGTGTTGTGTGTTCTTCCCAAACAACTCAATCTTGGTTTCATCTGTCCACAGTATATTTTGCCAGTAGTGCTGTGGAACATCCAGGTGCTCTTTTGCAAACTTCAAACGTGCTGCAATATTCTTTTTGGACAGCAATGGCTTCCTCCGTGGTGTCCTCCCATGTACTCCATTCTTGTTTAATGTTTTCCTTATTGTAGATGTGTCAACAAAAATGTTAGCATGTGCCAGAGATTTCTGTAGGTCTTTAGCTGACACTCTGGGATTCTTCTTTACCTCATGCAGTATTCTGAGCTGTGCTCTTGCAGTCGTTTTTACAGGACGACCACGCCTAGGGAGAGTAGCAACAGTGCTAAACTTTCTCCATTTGTAGACAGTCTGTCTTACCGTGGACACATGAACATCAAGGCTTTTGGAGATACTTTTGTAACCCTTTCCAGCTTCATGCAAGTCAACAATTCTTGATCGTAGGTCTTCTGAGAGCTCTTTTCTGCGAGGCATGGTTCACATCAGACAGTGCTTCTTGAAACCAGTAAACCCAAAACAGGTGTGTGTTTTTTAAGGGCAGGACAGCTGTCAGCAACACATCCAATATCATCACACTGATTGGAGTCAAGGTTGGTTCACTCCTGGCTCCAATTAGCTCTGGGAGAAGTCATTAAGCTAGGGCCTCACATACTTTTTCCTCCCTGCACTGTGAATGTTTACATGTTATGTGCAATTAAACCATGGCAACATCTAATGTTTCTGTAGTATTATGTTCAGCAGACTGTGTTCTTCTATTGTTGTGACTTAGATGATGTTCAGAGCACATTTTATGCCCAATTCATGCAAAACTCCATGTAATCCCAAGGGGTTCACATACTATTTCTTGCAACTGTATGTGCACCCCAACAGCATAAAACAAATAACAGATAACTGGTGAAATAACCTTCGCTGCTTGGAAGTCAAGAGGTGAAGGTAGGACCAACTGCCTCAGAATGGTCTACCAGTTTTAGTTTTGTTCGCCCTGCATGTTAGACCTATCACAGGCTGATCAAGTTGTAGGCTTCCCACAGTCCTTGGAAGACTTGAATGGGTTTTGTGCAAACACCTTTCTAAAAACATTAATATTCATAAACACCAGTGCTTTTCTTTACTATAAAATTCATGTATTGCTACAGATGGCAGTGAACTGATGCTTCCAAGTACAGGAAATGTGTACAGATATTATAAGGTGATGGAAAATTAGTTTACATGTATATCTTTCCAAAACCTATGTTGTAGGAGCAATCTAAACTTTTCTTTAACTTGAAATCCCACATTTCTTGAAATTGTTATCTAATAGATTAAGGGTCACTTTATAGTTTGCTTTTAAGAGCAGGTCTCTTGATGTCTTTTCTTATCTGTACAAGGAATTTTAAAGAGCAACCATCTTAAAACTAGATAATCAGTTATCTCATTGCAAGTTTGCACAATAAAATTTGTAAACAATAGTCCCTGCAGAAATCATTGGTAGCCAGGGATCCTCTGATCTAGGCTGTCCAAAATTCAGAGCTGGGGAGCTGCAGAGCTTTTTATTTTTTTATTATTTTTTTTTTTTTTTTTTAGTATTGCAGGCTAGAGATTTTTTCTGTTCAAAATAATTAAGTGATAAAGTAACCCTAACATGCAGTTTATGTGTATATTCATGTTGCCAAATCCCATCACCATTTTTGGTAGTTATTGTTTCAGAAATGCAGTTTTGTTGCCTTTGTGGATATCTACAAAACATGACCCGTTGGTGGGACTTGAGGGCAGGTTTGGAAAAAAAAGTCTAGCAGAGCAAAATGTTCTGTAATGCACCAACAGTGCATTTTACCATCCAGTTGGAACCTGCCCACAGCATCACACATTTTTTCTTAGTTGCGTGTCCTTTTCTTTCTTAGCAAGCCCGGCTATATGTACATTCTCCTCTCCAAAATGGCCCTGGAGCCTATCGAAGTAGACACTTGAAACATGCTAGTAAAATGAAATATACTGTCACTAGTGTATGTCATGAAACTAGAGTGACCATATTTTCATGCAAGTCTGTGCTGTGCATAGAGAGATTATTACAAGAAGTACAAAACTGTTCTATAGCCTCCTACCAACACTGGTACTAGTGCCATTATTACCTGTTTTTGGATTTGGTTATGCTACCTGCATGGTAGCATAAAGCATACTAAAATTAAGGTAGTCACTAATTTGGTATAATGACATCACTCAAAAATTGAATCGTTTTTTTTTCTTTTGCAAAGAACGATTTTTCCTGCAATTTTGTTTGTATGCTTATGGACACTAGGGGCACTAGTATTTGATTGTTAGGTATTTATTTTTGTGTTGTATATCTGTGATGGAATCACAATGCTTTATAATTATGGTTTTGTAGGGTAAAAATGTGAGGTAGTGCATGGTAGAGGTGCACGTGGTTCACACCTTTTATTATGCTGTAGGGTAGTTTTAATATTTCATTAACAATAATGCATCCTCAGATGAACACCATCTTCCCATCTGTTATCCTAACACTTTTGCTTGTGTTCTCTTTATTTTTGCACTTGATTTTACATTGTTATGTTCTAGAGAAATGTCACACACAAAAGCTAAAGGCAATCTAATTTTTTTAGGTGTTTTTCATTTAGAATATTTTTCTAATATGCAGCCAGCAGGTGGAGCTTAAAGTATAGATGTAGCTTTTTATTTATTTAATTTCCTAAACTATCATCCCCCTCCAGCCCCTCTAGGCTCAAATTTCCTCATTCATTTTAGTGCTGGTCCCATTCATGATTCCCTTTGATTTAAATGGGGCTGTATACTAAGATTGGATATCCTCAATATATGGCTCCATTAAAGTCAACACTGAAGAGAATTTTGCAGCTGACGTTAATACAGAAGTGCACTAAGACTCCGGAACCAAGGTAAGTAAGTAGTTGGGCTGGGGATTTGTGCAGTTAGCTTAGGGGAGGGTGGGACAGGGTAAGACATAATTTAGTAAAAGATAAAGGCATATTTTTAAGGCTGCTGTTTACATGCTTTGTGTTTTTGTTTCTCCTTTTTGCATAAAATCTGTTTTTATATATATATATATATATATATATATATATATATATATATATATATATAATAGATAGAGATAGATATATATATATATACATACATACATACCCACACACAAAATATCAATATTACACGCTGGTTTAAAAAAATTATTAAAAAAAAGAAAAACCCTACTTTCTGTATTATGAATAAGAATTGGTTCTCAGTAGATCATTTAAAGATGTATTGAATCTTTTTATTATTGACATTGAAAGTGTTTAATATTTAACTCCTGAATTAAAGTAGAACTATAGGTAAAACTATTTTTTCATTTTGTAATTAAACTAAGGGAGGGTTATAACCCCTGTCAGTTTTTGCCATGTGTGTCCCATTGGGAAGATTTAACATCACTTCCTGTCCCATAGCCAAAACAGGAAGTGAGAGGAAATCCCTGCAAATTAAGGGAATCCCTTGGGCCCCTCAGGTCACCAGAACTGGTGTCCCCATTGGAAGATGTCCCCTCTATTACTGTTGTGAGGATAAACCAAAACTTGGGATTTTCTTTTACTTTCATTTTCAGTGATAATGGTAAACGGGACAAATAAAGAGGGTGAATCTCCCTAACGGGCACAGACAGAAATAAAAACCCAATAAGTGTTCTAATCCCTCTCCTCTCTGTCCAAAACTAAAAAAAGTTTTGCTTTTAGTTATGCTTTAAACATTTTGTAGAAAATGTACATACACACAAAATTATATACCGTACATTCTTCACTTTGTCACATGGAATAAAGAAAAGTCTCTCCTTAAACCAGCTTGCCGGGCTCTCGTTGATGAAACAGAGTGGGAAATCTCTCAAGTGAATCCAAAGAGGACAATTCAGAAAGGATCTTTTCGAATAAATCCAGATGGGTCCCAGTCGGTAATAGAAGTAAGGCAAATTACCAGCTTTTTGATTAAAAATAATATTAAGGAGTTTTGCATATATTGGTTTACTATGTTCAAATAATTTTATTTTTTTAAATTATTTCTTCTGTGAAACAAACCTTTGCATGAATATATTGTATTCTCTTTTCACTCAGCAGGAGGCGCTGCAGGCATCTTTTTATGTGTTTTCCAATCTCTCTGCTTTTCTGAAAAAAAGACTCATTTACAGAGCTGAATAACTCAAGGCTGACATTTACACAAACATACACTTAGATTCCAAGCACACTGGTGTTTTTTTTAAGCTCCTAGAAGCTATTATCAGCATATTTTTTTTTCTTCTAAAAGCTAAATAGTGTTATCCTATGTGTCCATTTTTTAAGCTTAAGCGTCTAGAAGCAGAAAAAAATAGTTTTTTGGAGTGTTTTTCCAGCAGAAAAAAACCGTTAAACGCTACTAAACTGCTCCTAACAGTTTTCTTTCTAGCTTTTTTTTTTTTTTCCTCTACATGTCCTGTAAAAACGCTAATAAAATGCTAACTTTTCTGAATGCTGCTAAAATGCTACTAAATCTCTACTAAAAATGCTTAAAAGAAACGCTAGTGTGAATGGAGCCGTAACGGGTTGGATTGGCTTATCCCCTTTTGCCTGCCTACTTACACAATTTAAAGTCAAATATAAAGTATGCAGCAAATGGCTTTTACTGTGCTCTGTTTTTAGAAAATGCACAATGCTCTGTGGATCCAGTTTGGTACAACCTATATAAAATGGTTAATTTTAAACAAAAGGTATAACATAAATAAAATTATAACATCAATTAAAAAATGTATTGACTTTAAAACAAATGAAACTGACCCAAAAACCACTATTGTTTGCTAAAGCTGGGTATACACTGCGAGAACACTGGTTGACCAAAAAAAAAAAAAACCTGACAGATTCCTGCATCCATACAAATGATATGGATGCAGGGATCTCCTCTGCTGCACTATTGTATTGTGACAGCAGGGACTCGTCCTCTGTCAGAATACACTGATTAGTGCTGTGACTTCTGTTGAACAGAGAGAGGCACGCACGGATCGCAATTCATCCAGTTCCTTCTGGACCAGACGAATTTTGATATGTGTATACCCACCTTTAGTACTTGCTTCAGTGCCTATTATCATTTTACCATGGAGCCGATTCCTTTCCTTCCTGTGTCAAGTGAACATAGTTCAGGACAGGGGTCTTCAAACTATGGCCGAAGAGCCACTTTCTCAAGTCGGGGGAGGAAGGTACATTCGTACCAGCTCCCTTCTGTGATGTAAGAAACCAGAAGCAAGGAGGATTTTGCCATTTCTGATATTGGTTTGATGTTTACAAGCTGTTAGCAGCTTGTAAAGTATCTGATCAAACTGATCTCAATTTGATCAGACACTTTTTTGAGAGCAGAGGAGAGATGTGGGATCTTATAGACTCCAGATCTCTCCATAAAGAGGAACTGTCATGCTTATTGTTATCATAAGAGATGTGGTTCATCCCTTGTGATAGCAATAAAGTTGGTTAAATTAAATAAATAAATGGACAGTGTGAAATGTAAAAAAAAATAATAATTAAATAAAAACATAAAGCACCACCATATCCTGTGCACACGCGCAAATGTGAAAACATATTTAAGTGCTGCACACACGTAAATGAGGATCGCACCACACATGTGAGGGATCACTGCGATCGCCAGAGCGAGAGCAATCATTCTAGCACCAGACCTCCTGTGTGACTTTAAACTGGTATCCTGGAAAGGCTTTTAGAGTTTCGCCTATGAAGATTTTTAGGTACCGTAGTTTGGTGCTGTTCCTCGGACCTACACATTTTTAAAGCATGACATGCTCACTATCTATTTACGCGGTGTAACATTATATTTTACTAAACAATTGGGTATTATATCATGTTTGTTTGCACTAAAATTCAATAAAGTGTATTTCTTCCTAAAAATTAGCATTTTAAAAACAGCTCTGCAAATGTCGTGCGGCATTTCAACAACCACCATTTTATTCTCCTTGGTCTCTGCTTTTAAACAATATGTATAATATTTGGGGGTTGTAAGTAATTTTCTACAAAAAAAGCATGCTAATTTATACATGTATGACAGAAATGCCAGAATTGGCCTGGGGACAGAGCAGTTAAAGTGGTTGGAAAGACTCAAGATTTTTACTTTCATGTATGCTATGCATGAAGGTAAAAAAAAAAACCTTCTGTGTGTGCAGTGCCCCCCCCCCCCCTCTAAAACTCCTGATCCAACGATGGGCATGAGACCCTTGGCTCTCCCGGGTCACTCCCTCCTCATTGGCTGAGACAGCAGCGGTAGCCATTGGTTCCCACTACTGTCAATTACAGCTAGTGAGACAATGAGGAAAGATCAGGGGTAGGTCCGAGCTGCGTTCCGTGTATAAGTAGACACACAGAGCAGCAGCTCGGGAGCAAGCCTGCAAAGGGTGCCCCCAGAGCAAGCTGCTTGCTATGGGGGCACTAGGCAGGAAGTAGGGGCCTGGAGCTCTGGTGGGGGACCTGGGAAGAGGAGGATCAAGGCTACTCTGTGCAAAATCATTGCACAGAGCAGGTAAGTATGATATGTTTATTATTAAAAAAACAAAACAAAAACCAAGCCTTTAATATTACTTTAATCCTTCTTTTCTTACACCTGTCTCCTAAACCAGACTTGACAGAAAATCTCTCTTATGATACAGGCGATAGCAATAAAAGCCTGAGAAAGGTTCTAATCCATCCTCGCTCTACTGAAAAATGTTTCATTGTAGCCTGTGTCCCATTAATTCCTATTCTGTCTGACACCCATCAGATTGGCAGGGAATGGAGAGATGTTGACTCCTCTCCTGAGGTGAAATCTCCAAAACGGGGATACTAGAAGCAATACAAAGTTGACCGAGGTTCTAACCCAGCAATGGGCAAACTACGGCCCGCGGGCCGTATACGGCCCGGCGGACCTTTTAATCCGGCCCGCGGAGGCTCCCGCTAGGCTCCTCTCACAGTCCGCCCTGAAGACCGGTGTAGCATGAAAATCTGTCTACTATGAGGATCTGTCCCCCTCGACGTATCTGCGCATGTGCCGGAGATCGCCGATCGGCTGCTAATGCCTGAAACTGGCACATGCGCAGATACTTCGAGGGGGACAGATCCTCATAGGAGACAGATTTTCATGCTACACCGGAACGGCGCGGGAACACGGCGAGAGGAACGCGCAGAGCAAAGGTAAGTGAATTGACACAGGGGGGACTTGGGGACTTAATATGGGGGATGAATTAATATGGGGGATGAATTACTATATGGGGGATGAATTACTATGGGGGATGGGGGGATGAATTACTATATGGGGGATGAATTACTATGAATTACTATATGGGGGATGAATTACTATATGGGGGATGAATTACTATATGGGGGACGAATTACTATATGAATTACTATATGGGGGATGAATTACTATATGGGGGATGAATTACTATGGGGGATGAATTACTATGATGGGGGATGAATTACTATGGGGGATGATGGGGGAATTACTATATGGGGGATGAATTACTATATGGGGGACGAATTTACTATATGGGGGATGAATTACTATATGGGGGATGAATTACTATATGGGGGATGAATTACTATGGGGGATTAATTACTATGCTTACTATGGGGGAATATTACTATACTTACTATGGATGACACATACACATCATTCATCTACTCTTGGTCCGGCCCTCGGGTCCAATATATGAACCCATTGCGGCCCTCAAGTCAAAAAGTTTGCCCACCCCTGTTCTAACCCCTTCTTACACTGTCCAAAAACATAAAAAAAAAAAGTTTTGACTGGAGATAGCTGATGTTTGTTAATAAAAATATATCTCTCTTACTTGAGGTTAGGCTAAGATCAGCTTCATATGTCTGTTTACTGCTGGCCTACTATAAACACCTACTAGTCTGTTGTCTATCTGTACGTCTCACCTGGTGAACCCTTGTGACCAAGTCCTCTCTTGCACAGAATCAATGACACCTTACTCTGTTTGAGTGGTTGTAAACCTCAGTCATGAAATCTGAACAAAGCGCATACCAGTATATCTATAGTGTTTGTCTTTCTCCAAAGCTTCAAATGTCATCAGCATGTGTCACTTCTGAGAAGTTTTCCTGACACCCAAGATAAGATGGGGAGAGAGCTCAGCACACAGCTTCTCTACTTACAACACAGCTCTGCATCTTCCTTTGTTTCTGTGCAGTGTGTAGAGGGGGTGTGTCTCGTTCCTCCAATCAGCTCTCACACAGTTTACAAGCGTTCTAACTGCAGCTCCCTGCCCTTCCTCTGTGATACTGACAGATTAAGGGCTCATGTACACCAGCATCTGCTAAACTCCAGTTTAGGAGCTTTTGGCATTTTTTTTGCCAAAGCTCCTAAACTCAACTCCATAAAAACCTATGTGTCCATGTACACCTAGGCTTTTAGCAGAGTTTAGCAGCTGCTGCGGTTAGGAGAGGTTAAACCTCCCTCTCCTGAACGCAGAAGAATCGCATTCAGGATAGGAACATTTTGAGAGGCAGCTGTGGGAAATCGCAAAACATGGCAACGGCAATTTTGCCATGATTTGCAGTTTCCCGTGGTCAGGGTAGGCTCATGTACATGGAGCCTAAGAAGGATTTTATCTAAATTCAGCCCTTTTGAATTGATGAAGAGAAGACTGCAAAGTAAAAATGTATGTAGAATGCTTTGTTTCATCTGTGTCTCAGCTGAGGCCATTCACTTCAATGGGTGTATGTAAGGATTTACAACCACTTCAACTGCTTGCCGACCACCCTATAGCAGAAATACTGCTTCAGGGTGGCACGTGTGCGCAAAATCACATATATACACGTGATTTTGCATTTCCTGGTAGGGGGCGGCCGCAGCTGTCAATTACTCGCCGGCACGCGGTGATTTCCAAAGATCTCTGACGGGGAGGATAACTGTTTTGTTTACTAACAGTTCTCCTCCCTGTCAGCTTGGGCACACTGCTTTGGATGGCTATGCACAGTACAGCCATCCAGAGCAGTGTGATTACAGTGAAGCACACTGACACCGCCCCATAGTAAAACACTCCCTGCGCACAGCTAACCCTTTGATTGCCCCTCATGTTAATTCCTTCCTGCCCAATGCCATTAGTACAGTGTTAGTGCTTTTTTTTTTTTAGCACTGATCACTGTATTGGTGTCACTGGGGATGTCATTGACACTAAGTCAGATCCCCACCAGTGTCAGAATGTCTGCCACAGTCCCTCTATAAGTTACTGATTGTAGTAAAAATAAAAAAAAATCCCAGTATATATACCGCCATTTGTAAATGCTATAACTGTCACATAAACCAATTATTTTACACATATTGAGTTTTTCTTTAGCAAAGACATATAGCAAAGTACATTTTGGTGAAAATTTATGACAGAATTAGATTTTTTTTTATTTTTTTTACTGGACATGTTTAATAGCAAAAAGTTAAAAATAGTTTTTTTTTTTCCTCAAATTTGTTGGTCTTTTTATTTTTTTTTTATAGCACAAACAATAAAAAATGCACAGGAGAACAAATAGCACCAAAAAAAAAGCTCAATTTGTGGGAATAAAAGGACTTAAATTTCATTTGTGTGCAGTGTTGCATGACCGCGCAATTGTCAGTCAAAGTAACGTATCGCCATAACGCAAAAAATGGGCTGGTCGGGAAGGGGGGTAAATCCTCAGGAGAGCAAGTGGTTAACTCATCCAGTACTCAAATATTGTGAATGGAGCTAGAATGTGGTGCAAATAATTTCTGCTGTCCTTACTGTGTTTACTGTAGGTACCTTATGCCAGATCAGAAACTCATCTTACTGAGCTACTGGAGCATGTGTGTGAAAAGATGACAGAGTATGGTGAGAAGACAGACCCAGAAACACACCGCAAAACCTACGTGCGAGTCCTTTCTCGGGATGGCAAAAAGTTAGATGCATCTGCAACAAACATTGATAAAAAAGTAATCGACAACTTGAAGTCCACAGTGAGTATCACTGCTAAAGTGCATGATGACATTTTTTCGTTAGTCAAGTACTGTTAAAAAATACTTACTACCAGACCTTGATGTATGTGTCATAAATTATTCTACCCAAAACATCTAAAAGATTTTTTTTTTTTTTTTTTTTTTTTGCTTTCTGTGAACCCTTATTACTTGTTTCTGTGACACCAGGGCAGTTTGTTGGACAGGAAGACAAAGATGGCAATAAAAAAAAAACTGATAGTTTGTCTACTGTAGTAAAAAAGACTTTCTTTTGTCATTCATCATTAAAAGTGTAACTAAAGGCAAAACCTTTTTTCCTAATTTTAAAAAGAGTGGGGAGAGATTAATTAGAACACCAGCCAGTTTTTATTGCGGTTTGTGTCCCCCATTAGACAGATTTGCCCTCCCTATTTGTCTTTACCATTTATCATCGAAAGCGAAAGTAAAAGAAAATTCCAAATTTTGGTTTGACACCAGAACAGTAAAAGAGGGGAAATATTCCAATGGGAACACTCAGGATTTACTTTGTTGGAATTTCTTCTCACTTCCTGTTTTGGCTATGGGACAGGAAGTAAAGGGAAATCTCCTCTAAGGAAAACAAATGGCATAAAAAGCTGACAGGGTTTTTTTTTCTTCTGCTTCCAGTGTGAACACATTGTTGAAGTACATGAAGATGAAACTGTTTGAATTCTTCTCTCGTGAAACAGAAAATGTAAAGGACAAACTGTGCAGTAAACGTACAGGTAAATGGTTTGCATAGTACAATTAAATATTAGTTTTTGCATTTGGGTTTAAAGGTCATCTTTTGTGTTTTTTTTGTTTTACTACCAACTTTTTTACTAGGCAAACTGTACATGTTCATTAGATGGCAGTAATGTAAAAATGTTGGGGAATAAGTATGTCTTGGTGAACTCAAATTTGTTAGAATTCTAGTATGTTGGTTTAATTGTTAAGAAACCTCCCATTTACTGATGATTCTATCACACTGTCATAAACCGTTTAAATACAATACATTTGTCACATATATGGCTCTCAGGGTGTGGAGTGGACAAAATGTACTTAGCATGCCTCTGCACGAAGCATACAATGTGGTTGGTATGCACCTGACAATATACATTCAATTTTCACTGTGTTGCTGGCAGGGAGCCCCATGTGTGCAGCATATCTCTGGCAGGGTTTCGGTGTGTCCAGCAAGTCCCTGATAGTGTGCCCAATGTGCTAAACCTAATGTGGTTTATATGCCCCTGGCAGATTCTCTCTCGCGCTCTGCATAACCCTGGACATGTTCCTGGGCCTCTACGTCTACTTCTGACAGTACTTTGGACCTAGGGCTGGATTATGTTCAGTAAAGACAGAATTTCCTGTGCTGTTGTAACCAAACCAAAGTATTATAGCAGTAAAGATGTGTAGACAATACCAAGGTTGAACAAAGGAAAGTTATGGGGAAGCGATGTACATTGTATTTTTATAGTGGAAATGCAATACTTTTATTCCCATATGCAAGTGTACAATCCAAACGCACACGTTCCTGCGTTAAAAATGGCTGTGTGTATAAGTGGGTGCTGCAGCGACTGTCGGCTGGAACCGAACAGAATCAGCAAGGGAGAAGGTCACCAGCACACCGAGGATCACCAATATGGGTCCAAATGTTTTAATGAATGATCACATAGTTACAGCAAGGCAACGTTTCAGAGTCTCGCAGGACCCCTTCATCAGGCATGTGGTCCTGTGAGACTCTGAAACGTTGCCTTGCTGTAACTATGTGACCTGTAGTCAGCAAATCAAGGGTGCAATGTCAGGCTTCTTTAGACTCTCAGTGTAGCTGTCTGCCTGTACCTCCAATATGGGTTGGGAGTTACCTCAGTCCTGGAAGATCAATGGACTCACCAGCTCCTTCGCAGTTCATAGAGAACTAAAATCTATCAGCTGCAAAGGATAACGGTACTTGTAGGCATTCATTCACATGACGCAGCCATGTAGGCGGAGCCCCACATGGCTGCACTCTTTTAAAACTGTGACAGTGGGCTCTGGTAGAAGATAGAAGAATAAAATTAGATACACTGTATAACAGTTAATTAATAAAAATGTTATATATTGAAGCTTAAAAGTCTTTAATTGTGGTGGCGTCATTAGTGTTGCTTTTATTATTACATTTATTTTCAGTATATATATTGGAGAAGGGCTGACTTGGTAGCACATCCATTAATTATTACCAGAAGACCAAAAGAGGGTAAAATATTAACGCAGACTGTACAGGACGCAAAGGAGACAACAATTAAAAAATACAGAAATGAATATAACATGAAAACGATACTAAAGGTTCAGTTGCAGTGGTTTTGCACAGAGCAGCACGGATTCTCCTCTTCTCGGGTCCCCCGCTGGCACTCCAGGATCCTCCTTCATGTCGGGTGCCACATTGCAAGCAGCTTGCTATGGGCACACCAAAGCATGCCCACTCCCAAGCCTCTACCCCGTGTGTCCATACACACACACACAGTCGTGGCACAGCCCTGCCTTCTCTGTCTCATTGGCTTTCTGGCTGTGATTGACAGCAGCAGGAGGCAATGGCTCCCGCTGATGTCTCAGCTAATGAGGAGGCAGAGACCTGGGACAGCTGAGGTTCTCTTTGACATTGCTCTATCGCTGTGGGGCTCAGATAAGTAGTAGGGGGGCTGGGGGGGACTGCTGCACACAGAAGGTTTTTTACCTTCATGCATAGGATGCTTGAAGGTGAAAAACCTTGAGACTTTAGAACCACTTTAAAAAAAAAACGGATTAAAATATCCTGAAATACCACACAATTCTATAACCTTTATCTATAAACAGAAGCAAACAAAGAAGGAAGCCATCTAACACCACTAATAGTTTAGTACACACAACACAGTCAAACACAAGGCCCGAGGGCTGAATTTGGCCTACCTGGCCATTTTTCATGTGGCCCTCACACCTCTCCTGCAGTACCCCCCTCTCTGTTCTCCGCCCCCACCTTGTTTCAGCAGTCGCCAGCAGAGAACAAAGCTGTTCCACCAGATCCTGTGCTTCTCTGTGCAGTCACGGAGAAGCTCATCTCTGCTCCCCCCATCTCAGCAGTCGGCAGTAGAGAGGACAGAACTCCTACAGATCCCGCTCCTTTCTGTGCAGCTGCAGCACCCCATCATTTGCACTTTCTGCTTCTCAGCTCCACCCCCAACTTCTTCCTGGCAGCAGCATAAGGTAAAGAGAGTACACTGTGATGTGAGAGAGGGTGGGGGACTGTTGAATTCTGATGGGGGGGAGGGGCTCTTGACATCTGATGTAAAAAAGGGGGGCAGGGGGTGAGGTACTGTGAACATCTAATCTTACAAATACAACTGGCAACCATAATGTGGATCCGTCCTGGGATGAAATTGAGTTTGACACCTCTGGTCTAGTACATTACAAGATTATAGCCAATGATGGGGCCGTGAAAAATGGAAGGATGCTCCATCATTGGCTACTATCATTTTTGTATTTCAGTAAACATATTGTGAACTGAAAAAAAAGTATTACTAATGTGGTACCAAGTCAGCCCTTCTCCAATGTATATAGCAAAAAAAAGAAAAGAAAAAAGAGCAGAAAGAAAACAACAGTCTTTAACGTGTGCTGTGCTGCACATTGATAGAAGTCACAAGATTGCTCTAACTGCTAATGAGAAAAGGTATTTACTAAAATAATTGCATTTCCATGTTCTGTGTATTGCGGGAGATCAGATATAGTGACTGCAGGGTCCTGGGTTTAGTAACACTTTAAAGCCTGTCTTTTTTTTAACTATGTGTTCTATTACAGAGATTTCTACTTTTTTTTTTCTACACTTTTAATTGTTTTTTATTCTATATTTGTTCTGTTTGTAATATCACTTATTTGTTTTCCCTGTATTTAGACCTCTGCGACCACGCTATACATATAACCCATGATGAACTTTGACCTGCCATTGCTGATTCTATCTTGGTTCATAAAGCTTCACCTAGTGTTTACAGAGAATAAACAAAGGGGTAATGTGAATGGGGTAGAATACATTTTTTTGTTAAATATTTTTTACAATAAAACAAGTAATTTTTTTCACGTGGCTTGATGTGTCTTTTGTACACATATTTGAAATGTATACATATTTGGAATGTATACAAAATAAACTTCTGTATGTTTAAAAACTAAGTTGTCATTATGGCTATATTCAAGATTAAACCAGCTCATTCATGTCTAGGCAAAGAAAAAATAAGCTTAGACATATTATCTGGATTTTTCCATAATGTCCACTAAGTAAAATTACGCAACAAATATTTGGTTCTTAAGTCTTGCAACACATGACCCATGTTTAGCCAGGTTCAGATTGTTCTTCCAATCAATAAATCAAATTCCAAATTACTAATTCCTACATAACTAAAGAGCACTGAAAAATATTTTACTTTATAGCCACTATAAAAAATAAGATTTTTGTACTTAACCCAAAATCTTTTTCTTGAAGTCCATTGAGGAACACGGGTATTGTAAATAATCAAAGACAATTGGCAAAGAAAAAAACAATAAGCCAGGCCTAAAACATAGAGGTGTGGGATCTGTGTTGCTCAGTGGACTTCATGAAAAATATTTTTTATAGTTAATACAAAAATTTTGTTTTCTTTGACGTCTATTGCGGCACACAGAAATTGTAGATAATTGGGACATCCAAAAGCCGTTCAAGTGAAGGGTGCACAATAACCACTAAATCTAAACAATGTTGATAAAACACAACAAAACTGAAGAAGAAATCAATGCTTGAAAGAAATGGCTAAAACTGTACCTAAGAAACTATGGGATTCAAGAGTGAATTGAAACACAATAACCCCAGCATAATACAGATGACAACAATACATCATCTGAAAATGCAGGAATACTAGAATCAGTATCAAGGTGATCAACCGTAGAAAAAAGAAAATGTATCCAGTAAACAAAAATTCAATAGGACAACTGTAGGACAGGTGTAGGTTTAGTGTGCTTTAAGCCTGCCACAGATGGAGGGATTTTTCTTTCCTGCAACCGTGGGTTGCATAAAAGAAAATCGCTCTATTCTCCTATCAACAGAGTCAGTGTTGATGGGGGAATCCCTCCAATAGAGCCATTGTGTTCTACCAGCAGGGGGAGCCATCCCCACTGGGAGAATACAGTGATTTAAATGCAAGTAAAATCCAACAGGCTGGTCGTACCCAGGTTGATCAATTGATCAACTTGGGTATATTAAGTCTGCCCATACATGGTTCGAATCTCAGCCAGTTCCTGCTGAACCGGCTAAGATTCAAACCTTCTATGGCCACCTTAACACTTGACATCAGGAAGAGGAGGTATAAGTAGACAGGATTGTCTAGGCTAAAGAATAGTTAATGAGCCACTGTGGCACAAGAGGCTATCCCAAAACCTTGACTTCAGGGAGAGGTGAAACCATGAAAAGTCTTATTTACCTGTCCGTGAACACTTCATTGGAGAAGAATAAAGAAATCAACAACCCATGTAGAAAAAAAAAAATAAAGATGGTAAGTAGAAAATAGATGAATGAAAACAGTCTTTTCAGAAGAAAATACCCAAGGTAGAGAAGAGGGGTGTGGTGAGAATAAGCAATATCATAGAAAAGACCAAATAGAAAAAAAATTTGAATTGTGCTGGAAAAGGCTGATAGGATAAGTCCTGTCCCAAAGCGAAGGATATGAATGCCAGAGCTAATAGAAATTCTGATTCAGAAAAATGAAAGAGCTGACGAGGTCTTCTATCTTACAGAGAGAAGCTCTGTATGATAAAATAGGTACAGTTCAGAATACACTGACCAGCGCTACAGCACTGAATGAATGAAAAGTTTCCAATATTCCCGTTCAAGAGAAGCCAATCATTAGATCAACTTTTTTCTAGCAGGAATAGCCATAGATTGAACAAAATGTAGCCTGTCCTTTTGTCCTTGCTGAACTGGCTGAATTTTAGTTCTTCTATGGCCAGAATAATAAGGACCTGTCTATCGAACTTTAAAAAAAAAACAGGCTCTGCCACTCCACAGCTACAGCAACACGCAAAAGTAGAGCGTAACAAAGGCCTTCAGAATAGAGAGGTGGCCAAGGAGAAGTACCAAAAGGGATACAATACTGCAGAGGAAGAGGAAACCACTAAATTCCAAGGTGTAAGGAATCTGAACAAGCTGGGACCAGGCACATAGGGGTACAAAAATCCAGATGAGTGTGGAATGACAAATAAAAAAAAAAAGCCCTATGGTAGGGTCCAGAATGGAGCTACAGTGAAGGCATGTGCCACCATACTGGAGAGCAATAGTTTGTCAAGGACCCAAAAGGGAAAAACAAAAGAAAAAACTATTGAATAACCTATGGTGTACCTTTTACATTTGAGAAGAAGTAGACTGAAGCCTTTGAGAAATGACAGCCACAGAAGATTTTTCAGTTGCATCTACAGATCTACGTCGAGATAGGGGCATACAGCAAGAACCAGAAGGATCAGGTATGCCACTGTCAAATGAATAACCTAATACACAGGAGATTGAATAAGGGGTGTCTAATCTGCTGGTCCCAGGCCAAAGTGCTCTCTACACATGTGAACAAACATCACTCCAGTGTGAGGTACAAACTTAGATGCTTCCAAGTGGCCAAATGTTTGGTCCATAATTTTCAGAACGCGATGTATTTGCGTTTTGTTGGAGAGTTCCTTCCTATAGGATGCAATCCATTGTGACAGTTTTACAAATCATAGTCACATCTAACAAAGATCAAAGTGTAGTACCAATTAAATGAAAGTGAGACTTAAATAAGGAAAGTACCTAAATAAAGCGGTAACCTCAAACTGAGAGGTAGTATTCCTGTTAAGGTGCATAACAGGGGAGTCCACAAAAGGCATATACCATTTTCCCACAAATGTCCTTTTCTGTTTGCTCTTTTTTATGGAAATCTCCAATAAAAAATATTGAAAGACTATAACAGGCACAACAGCCTTGATGTACTACCAACACACAAATAAGAACAATGATGGTATGGAGTTGCAATTTTAAATAGGCCAAAACATGGGTACAGAATAGCACCTGCAGAACATATAATGAGGAAAATGGAACACAAATTACGAGCACTCTCCACTTGAGGGGAACAGGTCCCAAGTAAAAAATACCAATTGCCCATTATGGCACAAAAACATCACAATTGTCATTTCAAAAGGAAAAAGCTGCTCCATGCTCATTAACTGATGGGGAGATTAGGTTACATCAGAAAAAGATGTACCGCTGCTCTAGGCATAGATAATACTCTGCAGGGTTCAAGTAAGTATATCAGAATTCAGTGAGCATAGATCACATTGGTATATATCAGTCATAAGCAGATATTTGCTGAGAGAGTGTGTGTTCAGAGTTTGGATCCCAGAGGGAATGCACCTATGACTATGGATCCGAAGACAATGTTTTGCAGTTTACTGGCGCAGTATATGACTCAGAGCTTAGTATTCAAATATGACATAGTATGTTTTCTTTGCCAAATGTTTAAATACACTCACACAAGGAAATTATAAGAGATTGGGTTACACCAGGGAATATACCACGGCTCTAAAATGGAGGTGAATTCTGCATCTGACACAGTAGACACAGGTATAGGGAGTGCCACATGCAGATCACAGCGTCTGGATTATCAGAGACTGGCTTACACCAAAAGCTGTACACACAGGTATGGACAGCACCACAATGTAGAGGCCAGGGCCAGAAGGTCACAGTCCAGGCTATCTTTGTCCCATCCATGAGCTTACACAAAGGGAGTCTTCAGGTCTGGACCTGAAGAGTGCCCTGTGGCTAACATTCTGGGCTATCTTTGCCCTGTCCATGGGCTTACTCATTATTTGAGTCTTCAGACACTGGGTCACACCAGAGGCTGTACCAAAACTCTGGACCTGGAAAATAATGGCCCAACGTTTCCATTCATAAAGTTCTTTTCATTGAGGGAACTACTAGTACAGCCTCTATGAGTAGAGCAGAGGGGCGGAAAAGGTGGGCATTTTTGACAAGTGCCTGTGATAGGAGGAGCTACTAGTATTAACCCCCACAGCACCAAAATATCACAGTTGGGGTATCCAGGATGGGAGGCCACCAGCACATGGGACACAATGCATGTAGTTATTCCAGGACAGTAATTGGCCAAGTAGGGAAGTACACTGACAGCACCTGAGCTTTCACATTGAAAAAATAAGTCAGCAGAGGCAGAGGCAGCTCCTAACTTGACAGGTTGTGTTTAGGTGAGGCTATATATTTGGTGTAGAATAGCAACAGACCTATTCAATAAAACAGTATTGCAGTAACCTGCAGCAAGCAAAATCATTTCAATTTACAGCAAGTGAGCCGATTGTGTGTTTGAGTACTGAACTGAATACACTTGTTAGCTGATTGGTTACATTGCAAAGCTGCACCAGATTTCGCACTATCCAGTTTTAGTAAATCAACCCTATTGTGTCTTAAAGAGACCTCAGCAGGTCTCTAAGTGTTTTAAGTTAAGTTGGCCATACATTATACAATTTTCTTGTTCAATTTCCTTTAGATTTACCTTCAACTGACTGCATACAAATTGAAAGTGTTTAGGTTTGAACTCATATTATATGGTTTTGGTAAATCTAAAGGAAATTTGTACAAGAAAATTGTATAATGTATGGCCATCCTTAGCAAAAGAAGACAGCATATACTCACCTTTTTTAGCAGCCTGTTTCGCTTATCCCACCACCATTCCAAAGCAGAAGCATCCGGTAAGCCCTATTTACCTAAAATATTATACATATAGCAGCTTAAAGGAATTCCTGGCAGTGTGGAATGACAAACGCTTAAAAGCCTTTCCTCAGTATCCTTCCTCATTGCAACACCAAGCCAGCAAACCCAAACTCCATTGAGTTCAATTAAAAAAAACCTGTCATCCTGTCAACAGACCTTCTACTAAAGT